ACAGATAATACAAGCTTTCTTGGAGTTAAAATTGACTCTCACCTCAATTGGAAATCACACATAGAAGAGATTAACAAGAAAATATCGAGTTATTGCTATGTTCTTTCAATACTTTCTTGGCCAACCTCTGAATCTGTTTACTAGAAATGCATACTATGGTTATATTTATCCACTGTTATCATATAATTTTTGGGGGTAATGCAACTAACATAAATTTTCATTAAAACGTTTCCGTTTACACTACAGAAACTATGTTTGCCTATCATATACCGTAAGACAAATAGAGAAAGAATAAGGAATTTATTTAAAGAAAAACGTTTTTTTTTTTAATTTTAACTGGAACATATATCTTAGAGTTGTGCCTAAGATATATATTCCAGTTAAAGTTCAAAATCTCAGAAAAAATCTCAGAAATAATTGCGATTTATTCAAACAGAAACATTCAACGCGGCAAAATTTACGCACTTGGTATCAAAATGATCTTTCTCTGCCTAAAATTAAAAATAAATTGTTTTACAAAAGTTCGTATATAACAGCAATTAAAGTATTCAATCACTTACCCAATAGTATTCAAACAATAAAAACACCCAAATTCATTCATAAACTATAAAACTGGTTGGTGGAACATACGAGGGCGACACTAAAAGTTTTTAGGACTGTCCACTTGTAAACGATATAATAAAAAAATAAGTTCAAATTTTGAAAATGGAACTCTTTGCCAATATTTTTGTGTATGTATTTTATTAATTTGTCATTTGTTTACGATTTGGCACCAAATTGAAAATTGTCTGTGTCACGTCAGCATGAATTTAAGGCGAGAAAATTTTCGTACAATGATTATTTATGACTTTCGATGTCATTTAAGTCAACAATAAAGTTATGATAGACTTCGATTGGCCTTTCACCATGAAGCCCCATTTTGAGCCACTATTTAAAACTGATTTAATGAGTTTCAACGTGATCCCACTAATCTCAACGATCGAACAAACGAACGAACTCGAACGGCGGCTTTCTACGGTGACAACTGAATATAACACCAGTGTTGTGCGGTGTATGATAGACACTGACAAAAGAGTGACTTATCAGCAGATTCGGACAAGCTTAGGCATCGGTATGAGTTAAGTGCACAAAATCCTCTATGAACATTTAACGGTCAGGAAGATTTGTGCCAGTGGATACCGCATAATTTAACAGGGTCCAAAAACTCCGTCGTGTTGATTAGTTTTATGAAATGGTTCAAAGATTTAACGGAGACAGCTCATATGCTGTATTCGACATACTTACGGGTGACTAAAGCTGGATTTATTGTTATGATCCTGAAACTAAGAGACAGGCTGCTGTCTGGGTGTTTCCTTCCGAGCCGTTGCCAACTAACATGAAGAGAGGTTGAAGCGTGGGAAAAAAGATGGTGGCCTCGTTCTTCGGAAGGACAGATCATTACGCAACAATTGTTTTAGAGGATCGAAAAACAGTTACTGCAGAGTGGTACACTAACAATGTTTGCCACTTGTCTTGGAAAAAGTTCGGAAGAAACGACGTCGCAGTAGGATCCTCCTTCACCACGACAACGCCTCGTCGCACACCGCCAAGCAAACAATCGACTACTTGGCGACATCAGACGTGGAATTACTGGGTCACCCGCCCTATAGCCCCGACCTCGCACCTTTCGATTTTTATTTATTTACGAAAATAAAAGAAAACCTTTGAGGAAAACGTTTTATGGACGCCGAGGAAGCAGTGGTTGCGTTTCAAAATGCCGTCGAAGAGACCCCTAAAGACGAGTGGACAAAGAGCTTTTCTCGGTGGTTCCAACGGATGCAGCGATGTATTGATGTAAATGGATTTTCACATTTTCACATTATCACTATTTTGAAAAGATATAATAAAACTTGCTATGTTCAGTTTTTGATTTTCTAAGAATGTTCAGTGTCACCCTCTTATACTGAAAGCAGACTGCTCTCTAGCAAGGAGTAGGTACCTACACATAATATGTTAGTATTCTGCCACAGAACGTAATATTATACTCTCTACGTGAGTTTAGCGCACTGCATCCGATCTGAATCTGAGTAACGTTGATGGGAAGTTGTAGATTAATAGGTTTATGATATTTTATTACTAAAATATTTTTATTTTCAATTTTTCAATTGATTATAGTAAAAAAGTACATGATTAAAATTGAAATGTTCTGTTTATTTTTTATTTCTTCAGAATTAAAGATTAAAAAGCAATATTAGGCATAGTTAATATTGTAGAAGATTCAACGATTAAAATTTTTTTTCAGATTAAATCACACTCACGCAACTTTTTCTATAGAACATGGATGACAAACGAGCACACAGTCCACCTGATGGTAACTGGATGCTGTGGCCAATAGACATCTTCATCTGTCTTCAATTAAGTATCAAAATGCGTTGTCATACCTGAGGACCAAGATGGAATGTCTCATTTCCAGTAAAAATAATCTTCAGTTCTATACGCTCACCATACGAAACGTAACGTCTATAAAATCGACTGTTAGAATGCTAGCGACTTGTGATGAGATCATAAAATTCGAATTGACAGATTTTGAGATTGACCTACATTTTTTTTATATGATAGGGTGACAAACGAGCACACAGTCCACGTGATGTAAGTCGTTGCTGTGACCCATCTATCCTCGATAAAGAATCAAAATGCAGATGCGTTGTCACCCGTGAGGTCTAAGGTATTCCTTATAACAACTAAAAAAACTGCGGTTACAAATCGGGTGCCAAGCGTGGCAAATATGACAAATATCGCCCTCACGAGGCATTCTATAGGGAGGCCTATGTTCAGCGTGATGAATAATTGTAATGAATGAATGTATGAATAATTAAACAAGGATAGCTTAATAAGGGAAATCAACTACAGCCGATCGATGATTAATTATTTTTTAATTCTATATAAATCAAAATTTCAAAAACTCGTTAACCAATAAACCTATCGTACTCGAATTAAGTTGTAATATTCTCAACTAGCGGAGGAAACTGAGTATAAACTTGAAACTTTTCTTATCTCTCCCTAACTATCCTAGAAGGAGGGAAATGTTTTCCGGGTGTATGTATCTATGTATGTACACTTGTTGTGAACTTACACATTTGAGGTCTCCTGTCTTAATCTACGGAGTTTTTTTTTTATATAAATTTGAAGTTAACATATAAAATTGAAGAGACAGACGATCTTGCAGTCTGTAATTATTCGTAGGGTACATTGAAAGCTTTGCGTAATCCATAAGTAAACCAATCATTATGTAAATATATATATTTTCTGTTTTTCAAAGTATTTCATTACATTTTAAAAAGAAAGAAAGATAGAAATAAGGTAAGTAAATCATTTTAAAAACATAAGGACTATTCTGAGGCCATGTTTTTTATGTACTCAGGTCAGGTCAGGTCAAGTCAGGACTGTATGCGGGATGGGTCACTTGTTCGCGGTTTGTGCGGTGTCTTTCCCGAACTTTTTAAAGACAGTGAGCAAAAAATTGATGAAGTACCACTCGGCATTAACTGTATTTTGCTCAATAAATGGGTTCGCGCAGACACGACAAATTTGGCAGAAAAAAAACTCGCTTTTTACCTGCCTCAATTTTATTGGTTTCCTGTCGCTTTTAAACACCAATATAAAAAAAGCTGTTGCTTTCTATCCGGAATGTAACAATACATCCATATTTCATCTTCCGTCACAATGTCATACACAAAATTTGAACGTCCGTAATCAAAGTAGATATAACAACCTTTTTTTTTACCTGCAATTGCCTTGGTGTTGCAGTTTCATGGACAGTACACCATCAGGTGTAAAACATTGCCACGAGTGAATTCTGCGTACTAACGCCTTACCTTCCAAAAGAATTTATAGACGACCAGTGTAATCTTACGAAGAGAGTGAACTTATAAAATCATAAAAAAATCATCGGCCTAAAAACTTTTCACAATCCTGATAGTTGATAATCGCTGTTATTGTTGAAATATCTAATACGTTTTTAATTGTTCTCATAATTATTCTAGGCGAGGACTACGTGACTCAATATTGAGTACCAAATCGCAAGTTTTGATTATTCTTTACTTCTTATTTTGCTCTTTTTAATTTAATGCTCTGTTGAATATAGACAACTTATTTTTCTAGTAACTATTCAATCATCACTATCATCATGAATTTTTATGATAAGCTTTCCGCAAAACGTATGTCACATTTTTAAAAGAGTTGCCTATAGCCAACGTGCTATGAGGCGAGTTGGTAAGCACAGAGTCGACTTCTTCGAGTTTAAAATCTGTACCCCTTCACTTGTCAGTAGTTTAGAAATTTCCACCATTATTCAAACCTTTCGCTTTGTTCCGCACCGTATGCAGTCGAGATTAATAACATTTAAAGGAAAAGTTCATATTTTCTGTGTTTCACTAATGTAACGCAATATAAGATAATTTAAAATTAAAAATTTTGTACAGCTGACTTCAATATAAGTTATGAAGAATAACTCAAAAACTATTGATCTGACCTTGATCAAATTTATATGGGACAACACGAGAAGTATCAGCTTTCATATAAAAAAAGAATCATCGAAATCGGGCTTTATTTAAACATGAATATTCAAAGCAAATAATTCAGTATTATCTATACATATAAATACAATTGAAGTGTCTGTTATATCGTAATAACTGCCTTGCCTAGCTGAGAAGGTTATTTGCTATTCAGACATGAACATGAATTTTTAAAATATTTGTCTGTTTGTCTGTCCGGACTAATCTTCGGAATGGCCGAACTGAATGTAATAAAACAAAGAGATACAGAGCAATGGCAGGAGTGATCAAGGCTTTATTTTATCTGAAAAACTTGGTGATTTCTTTTAAAAGAATAAAAACTTGGTAAAATAAATGGTTTTTGAATTGTTTTTATATCTAAATAAAGCTACATTATAAAACTCTACCCAGTAGAAGCCTGGGCGAGTCGCTAGTTATTAATAATTATGCTCAACAATTCTGTTACAGGCAAAGATATTACTCATAAGTTATACTCGGTTAGCGAAGGCCTGGGTATGGCAGGCACGGGAGAGAATGACGGTGCGCCCACGCATCTGACGCGATCCGCCAGTGTGGACGCCGTACATGAGGGTGCTCGAGGCCGCCTAAGAAGTGTCGCCTGGCGAGCGAGGACCACCGCACCCAAAGGTAATACAAATTATTCTAAAATAAATTTATATAAGTAGATCTTTAATTTCCTCTGGATGTGTTATTTTACGCTGACAAATTTAATAAGCTCAATGCCAAATACGTTAAGTCTCGTGCTGCCTCTATCACTTTAAGTCAATGTGACAGTGACACCAGGAGACCTAACGACATCTTAAAATTGAGCAACGTTTGAGTATTTAAACAGTGGTAGAGCCACGCGGCAGCTTTTGCTGTCGCACGGATGGGCCGGCTCGAACCGGGGTGGTACCAAGACCTCACAGAAAACCAGCGTGAAGTAGAGGTTTACCTCTGCGTTTCGCTTGGGGAGTGCAGGTGGCCGGAGGCCCTTTTTACTGGAAATGAGGCATTCCATCTTAGTCCTCACGGGTGACAACGCATCTACATTTTGATTTGTAATAGAGGATAGATGTAGATGTCTATGGGCCGCAGCAACCACTTACCATCAGGTGGACTGTGTGCTCGTTTGTCACCCTTATCCTATAAAAAAAAAGTTAGCAATTATATTACCAATCAGTTTTTGCTTTTAGTTGCCTAGAAAAAAATCTGAGACTTGACATCAAGGAATTAAAGGAAATATTGATTTACTACACGCTGTAAGAATTTGCTGTAATCAAACCATGTGTGGGTGGAAACTGTCGTTTAAAGTTGAAACACCAGCATACAGGTTTGCATCTTCCGCCCATATGTGACAGTACTCCATGCACGATCGGACATACGCTTTATATAAGATAAGAAGCCGCCACGGTGTGAAGTACCGCCGCACCCTTCCTAAGACACTTAGTTTCCTTGCGGCTGCTTTGGCCCTATACTTAATGAACCACGTATACCTGAGATTCGGCGAAATCTCAACCACTAGCAACTGAAGGTGGTCAGTGTACCCCAAAGATACATTCCGAAAAGTATGAGACAGGATGAGCAAGCTTCTTTTAGCGGTGAAGAGACACGCTTGCGTTTCATCATTACAGCCCTCCACACGTCCACTGCTGACATAGGCTTCCCCCAAGGAATTGGGCCAGAGAGCAAGGTTTTGGGCCACCCGAATCCATTGACTTCCTGCATGTCTTACCAGGTCGCCACTCTATCTAGTGTGGGGTCGCCCTACACTTCACCTACCGGTATGATGCTGCCACTCAAGAATTTTTTTCCCCATCGGTTGTCGGTTCTTCGATCCCTATGGCCGGTTCTTTGCCACTTCAGCTTAATAATCCGTTGGGCTATGTTGGTCACTCTAGTACTACTACTACTACTCGCCATAGCTCATTGAGCGACCTTGAGCTTCCTCATATGGACAGCAGTGAAGAACCATGTCTCAGATTCATAATTCATCACTGGCAACACGCACTGGTTGTACAATCTCGTTTTCAAGTTTTGAGGTTTACCTAACGAGAAGATGTCTTGTGACTTCCCGAAAGCTGCTCAACCGAGGTGAATCCGTCTATTGAACTTTCAGTCGAAATCGGACTTACCTAGGCAGACTATTCGTCAACAACTCCGAGCTTAGTGCTCCCAACAACTACCGGCACATGTGTGACATGGACGTTACACATGATCTTTGTTTTGTCTATGTTCATCTTAAGACCCATCCGTTGGGAAGCACTATTGAGGTCATTGAGCGATTCTGCCATAAGGACTTTATCGTCGACAAATCGCAGGTGAGTGATGTACTCACCATTGATATTAAGACCGTATCATTTCCAGTCCAGTAGCTTGAAAACGTCTCCGGGTGAAGAGTTTCGGAGATATAACGTCACCCTGTCTTACACCTCTCTGTAGTTGGATAGGTTTCGTACTCTGGTTCTGTACTCAGATAGCCATCGTAGCCCTACTGTACAAACACTTCAGCACTTCGGTTCGCTCGCTTCGATTCGATTCGCTTGTGGTTTGGATACGTTGAATCCCACTGGAATGGGGATTCGGAGACTGCCTGAAGTGAGCGATTCGCATGCTCAACCGTAGCTTGTCTTTCAGATTGGATTTAATCCCATCTGGCCCAAACATTCGCCTGGTACCTCTCTGCAGCTGTACTATCGTCTGCATACCCACAGCTACAGATCATGAGCAGATCATTAATATACAGCAGAATGAATGGACCCCCAAGGAATTCCGACGATTGTTGCCATAGGATTAAACAAGCAGCCCGCAATAAGACCGTTCACTCAAAAAATCCTTCACCCAGTAAGGCCAGTGGATAAACTGTACGCTGGAAGCTTGCGCAAAAGGCCAGTGTATCAATCATTGTCAAAGGCCTTCGCGACATCAAGAGAAACAGCAAATGCCGTAATTACCGGGCACAGCTGCTTCGGTGATATCTGTGTTGATATTGTTGTGACGCGAAACAACGATGAACTGCTTCCATTGCAGTGGGTGAGACCAGCACTCCGCATCTCTTACGCTCGCAGTATGCCCAGCGTGGGACCTGCGGGGGGATGATCCTGGTAAGCCGGATCGATCAGGACTTCTCCCTGCCAGCATTCGCGTCGGCGGTGCTAGGGAAGGATATGACGTGGAAGGCCGTACTCACCTTTTGTAAAATGTTTTCCAAAACGTAACCTAATTTAGTCTGTTTGTAGGTAAATATTTAAATATTGATTTCTTATATTTACGCGAACACCACATTGAACAGCCAACTTCAATATGAGTTATTAAGAATAACTCAAAAACTATTGGTCTGACTATGATCAAATTCATATGGGACAACACGAGAAGTACCAGCTTTCAAATAAAAACAGAATCATCCAAATCGGTTAACCCAGTAAAAAGTTATGAGGTAACACACATAAAAAAAACATAGAGTCGAATAGAGTACAGTCTCCTTTTTGGAAGTCGGCAGATAAAACTACTTTTACGGATTTTATCGCGTTTAATTATTCTTATTATTAATTCCCGACTTATATAGTGCAAACAAAACGATTTCTAAATACCCGCGTAAAAGAACATATAGATGACGTGAAATACCACCGCTTCGGAAAGTCTGCAGTTTGTGATCATATCCTAGACGGGCCCCGCCATTACATTAGATTTGATAGACCACAAATTGTCGCGAAAGAACATCGATTCCTGCTAAGGTTGATACGAGGCTATTGAAATTAAAAAACATCCTAATTTTAATAGAGATGGAGACTGGGTACTACCACCTGCTTGGGATCTTGTAATTAATAAAATTAAAACTAAACCTAAGCATACCACTGCAAGACTTCAAGACACAGTTAGTTCATTCTGCGTAGATTGGACCAAAACTAATAATTAAAAAGCTGAAGGTACTCCGGGTTAACTTTAACAGTGGTAGAGCCACGTGGCAGCTTTTGCTGTCGCACGACTGGGCCGGCTCGAACCGGGGTAGTACCACGACCTCACAGAAAACCAGCGTGATGTAGAGGTTTACCTCTGCGTTTCGCTTGGTGAGTGCAGGTGGCCGGAGGCCCTTTTTACTGGAAATGAGGCATTCCATCTTAGTCCTCACGGGTGACAACGCATCTACATATTGATTTGTAACAGAGGATAGATGTAGATGTCTATGGGCCGCAGCAACCACTTACCATCAGGTGGACTGTGTGCTCGTTTGTCACCCTTATCCTATAAAAAAAAACTCTAATATCGGGGCGTCAATCACCTCAGTCGCCCGTGACGATGGGTGCTGGAAAGCACCCGAAACGTCGGGAATAAAAAATAAGTACAATCAAACGCGATAAAATCAGTAAATTTATCTTTATTAAATAAACATTTTAACTTAATATGCTTATTATATTAACGTCAGCACAGCAGTTTAATATTTTCTGACACGTTAAAACATCGTTTCAGGAAATTCATATTGGCAGCCAGTTGTAGCACGGCAGTTCTTGCGTCAATCGCCTTTCGGACGAGCTATGCTTCCTCCGAGGCTGGTGACCCAAGCATCGTCAGCGAGCCTGCAGCCATCATTGAGTCGTCGGCGTGAAGTCAAGTTTGCAGAAACACCGATCACGACAGAACCACCCGTGTGACGCGGGCCGCGGCTCCAGCCCGAGCTGGTGCCGCTCGTAACCACCCCACTCTCCCCTACACACACCACGAGTCCCGCACTCGCACCCACGCCCATCCTCTCTCCCTGACACCTGCCCTTAACATTCGAGCGAACGACGACACCACTGCATATGACAGACTTTTAATCGCATTTTTATTTATTACTAATATCCTATGGTCGAGGCTATCCTATATTCAGCCAAATGTGTGGGCAACATACAGACATGATTTACTTGTGTACATCTATGGCACAGTACCCTTCGAGTGATATAAGTGTCACCTTTTATAATAAATACTGAAAAAATACTTTAATCTTCGATGTTCACATATTAATATATAATGACGATATAAACTCAAAAGTTCCCGAGAGAAAATAGAAAGTGCACATTTGAGTTTTAACAGGAAAAACGCTAGTGAAAAAATATGCGCAATAAGTAAAATAATTTTATATTGCCTATATAAAATATATAAAGAGCTTCCTATTAAATAGTACATTATATACGTGTAATATAATAATATAGATTACGTTCGCTCGAAAACTTAAACTCGAACTGCTAAAATAATATCTCGTTGTGAAATGAGAGTGACACTATATTGAAAAAGTGATAAAGAAATTTGACTTGTTGAATTTTATGAGTGAAGATATAATATAAAAATGTAATTATTGTGTGAGAAGTAGATTTACATAGCTAGAATAAAAATTTATTTTGTATCATATGTTGCATTGGAAATAAAAACCGCTCAAGCGTTGTAAAAACTAATAGCTCTTTTATTATATAAAAGTAAATCGATAGAACTGAGCATTATCGATACAAAATATAGAAAGAAAACCAAAAATCACTAATTTGTGTTCGCAATTGTGAATTAATATCTTTAGCATTTGCGAATCAAATAAGAAATTCTAAAAGTATTGTAATGTTAAAATGTAATTGTTTATTAGTTAGTACTTGTATATTAAATGTGTTAAACTCGTGATAAAGTCTTAAAAGTTACTGCAAGAATTCATATTCAGTACGTTGATCATCAAAATGTATCTATTTTCGTGTTCCTTATTCTAAAGTCACTTAATTTGTAATATTCAGTCAATAATAAGTGTTGTATAGTAACTACGTTACTTAGGCATAATCAATGCTTTAAAATCATGTATGTATAATACACAATGTATTAGCACCAGTATTAAAATCAACAGTAAACAATAGTTTTTTTGTTCCTTAATTACAGATACCGATTGAATGATAAGTAAATATTTGGAGGCCTAAATTTGTAAAATTATGTTACATTGTTATACCTACCATAGTTTATTCTGTTAGCGTTTCTTTTTTTTCCAGTCAACTTCTTTTATTTACTTCAAATTATTTTTGTTTAAAAATGTTTTTTTTTTCAATTGTCACATAGTATCCAACACATGAAATGAGCAATACATTACAACGAATGGTATGTCTTATGGGGTAACAGTTGACCAATTGTGAATTATTATGAAAGATTTAACATGAATGTTTATAATGTTATAATGTTACCATAATTGTCACATCACAATGGGTACAATAAAAATACTTATTTCTAGTACAAAATACAATGCAATAAGCATTGTATTTTGTATGTTAAAAATCAGAACAGTCTTGATAATATCAGTAAAACATAAAAGTGAAACTTAAATTGAATTTAAATATTTATCAAGATATTTTTATTGATATTTGAGTTCATATAATAAATTTAACTTAGACAGTTTAAAATAAAATTATTAACTGCACGTTTGGATAAGATCACTTTTGCAACCGATTTCAATACGTTAAAATAGGTACATAAATCTCCGCTTTTAGTATCTAATCTCACTCACGCAAAGCCCTGATTGGATATGCCGGTGATTATAGAACTACCTATTTAGATGTTATTTCACATATGAGAATAATATATTTCACGTCGGTGTTTAGTTGTTGTTGTCGCTTCGTTAATACGTGTCAGATTAGACGGGCAAGTAGTGTCCGAGTTTGTGTATGCCTCGTCGAACATAGCTTCGACATTCAATACGTAACTTGAAGATCGTGTAATGAGCACATAACCATAGTGATATATAACCATTGGGTTCAGTCTGTTCATATATAAACTATCAAAACCCTACTAAATACGATAATGTGCCCAAACACACTGCGGATACGCGGTTTTGACCTGATATAACGACAGCCTTTGCACAATACATATCGTTCCTCGTCTTGTCGTGTTAGATGCTACCTTAATATATTGTGAAGATTTGAGCGAGTTGCATAGTTACGATAATTATATTTATACAATTTCATGAATAAAACACATTACTTTAAAATATATATTAATTTATCCAACGTTTACAAAAAAAGAGATTGATAAATTCGGCTGTATTTTTAATATGTATATAGTACGATATCTTTGGGTTTATTAACACGTAACGCGAACTTCTTGTTATGACTGTAATGTATTTTGTATACTTTCATAGCGCTTACTATGTACTTAGATTTAATTACTCAGATTTAATTTCATTCTAGTAAAGTTAAGAAGTTAAGTTATAGTCTTTGTACGTCCCATTCTTGGGTACAAGATTCCTTCCCTTTCTGAGAGGGTTTTACGACAAGGAAATGTTCGCCGTGCTGCCCCAATGCGTTGGCGGACTTCACGTTTTCGAAATATTTTTTTTAATTTCTCAGACATGCAGGTTTTCTCACGATGTTTTCCTTCACCGCCGACCACGTGGTAAATCAGCACTTAAAATTGTAATTAACAATTTTATTGGTGCTGACGGGGATCTAACCTGGGTTGCTCGGATACTGAGATATTTATAGCGAGCGTTTAGCTCCTGAGCTACCACGGCTCATTCCAGATTAATATTGTAGAAGATAATTGACACCAGTTTATATTTTTTTTAAATAACCCAATTATTTATGTTTTATTAATAATGTAAGGCTGGAATCACATTATTCTCAACCTTATTCCTTTTTTAGATCTACAAAATGTAGACCTTGCTCTTATGGTATATTTAAACAACATTGGAAAAGGCTAGTGAAATTTTGATAACTTGATAACACCTAGATTTGAAATAATAAATTTATAAGTATAAAACATTACATTTTTTAATTAACTTTATTACACATACATAAGGTACATATTGTGTATTAAAAATTCATATTTGAAGGATTTTTGAATAGTGTATTTTGTCAGAAATCGTTTTTTAAGGTCTGGCTAGGTGGTGACCTGAAATATAATAAAAAAGGATACTTATATGACAGGAATTGAAAAAATATCTTCATACTAGCCATATACATTAAAACGCTAAAGAAAGTTTTATTTTACTAATTTAAAAATAACACTTTTTTTTTCAATCCGTTTTAAAGAAAAATGGCAGTGACGGAGTTATAAAGGCGCCTGTAATCAATATAAATCCTTGTAATCTTCATTTTTATTAAATTATAAGATAATTTTTCCTAGTTTGTTTAAGCCGTATATATGCATAAAGTTTTTTTTTCTTTAATAATCTTCTAACTCAAAAACAGAAATATAAAAATCCAAAAGAAAACCAAGACACGTATGTAAAAAAATAATAATAAAAAAACGCAAAAATTAAATTAACTAATATTGAAGTAATTTCAACCCTAAAAAACTTACTTCAATTTGTATCGAAACAAAAAAAAATTGTGTGTGTTTGCATTTTTTTAATTCTACATAATATTTAATAATTATTAAATTGTAAGTTACCTAATAGTTATTGTGGCCACCATAGGTCAAAACTGAAATTGTGACTTATTTTTAATTTGTATAAAATGTTGATGATTTCTAAATATGTGCGTGCTCGATGTTAAATAAATACTAAAAGCACTTATTCTTCATAAATGAAATCGAATCTCCTTAGATTATATAAAATCTAAGCTAATCTCTTAAAAGGAACGTTTTCCAAATTTGTTTACGCGCAATGTTTTCTTTATTAAAACCTATGAAGGACAAAGCTCTTGGGCCTTGTAACTCGTGTGTTTTAACTAAAAAGGAGACGAAATTTGCCCATGATCTTATAAGTGATTTTTATTTGAGAGTCGTAAATGGTCTTCCACTTATGTTAAAATTTACTATTCTGTACACAATAATCTGTTGTGATGTCCAAACATTCTATCCTTACAATCAGCTGTATAAAATATTAAAGAATTAGGTATGTAACAATTTATTTTACCTATACATTATTGTAATTTATTATACAAACACTGAGCAATGTATAAATGATAAGGCTTCACATATTATGTTTTTCTGTCATTGTAACAAAAAGCTGTTTTTTACTCGTTTTTATTAGGTCTGGGAAAAATGTCCGCAACATAATACGTTAGTACTACAAGTAGACATAGAATTATATGCAATAACACAATAAAAACTATACATAAAATAATATTATGTACCCATAAAAATGTAGGTACATCATTTTCGTTTCTTTAAAATCAACAACAATTATCATCATGCTGATGATGACACATGTCCACTGCTGAACATAGGCTTGCAAAGAATGCCACATAGCATGGTCCTGAGCCACCTGCATCCATCGACTTCCTGCATGTCGAACCAGGTCGTCACTCCATCTAGTGGGGGGCCGCCCCACACTTTGCCTACCGGTACGTGGCTGCCACTCGAGAACCTTGCTTCCCCATCGGTTGTCGGTTCTTCGACCTATATGGCCGGTACATTCACATCCACTTCAGCTTCAATTATGCTAAATACTATTTTCTACCGACTTCAAAAAGGAGCCGGTACTCAATTCGATTGTATGTTTTTTTTACGTATTTTTCAACAATCAATCAACCGATTTCGATGATTCGTTTTTTATAAACTGGTGCTTCCCATGTGGTCCCATATAAATTTGATCAAGGTCTGACCAGTAGTTTATGACTTATCCTTAATAATTTATATTGAAGTCGGTGGTACAAAATTTTTAATTTAAAATTATATTTAAAATGATCCATAGTTTTTAAATTTTAGA